CAGGGGGTCGGACTTGATGATTTGCTCAGGTCCCTTCCGACCCTACCAACTATGAAACTAAATTCTTAATGAAATACCTTTGAAATTTGGGTCCTTAATTTTTAACAATTGTTAATACTTACTTGATACATTTTTTGAGGTACAGCACATCTAAGAATGAAATGTCACACAGCCTTTGGACCATTTGTGCTTTATGGAGAAAAGCAGCTGTTCTCTTCTGCTCTGTCTACCACACTGACACTGATCCAGAAAAAATACGACATCTGAAACAGAGCCCCCTTCCTTTAATCAGTACTGGGCAAAACAAGTTGCAAGGGGGATCTGAATGTAAATGTGCCAGGCATGATTGTGAGAGCTACACTGACTCTTGTCCTGATGGTTTATCAGAAGGTGGAAATCTGCCTGGAGAGGTTATGGTGTAAAAATGAACGATGAGTGGAACTGCATAATGGAACAGATTATATAGGGGAAGATTCACTTTCTAATTTGCATTACATGATCTTGAAAATCAAGTCCCAGGATTATAATCTCTGCACTATGATTGCTCAGGCACAACAGTCATAGAATAGAGGCATTGCCAGACTGGAACAGACCCAATGTTTGCTGAGTTTAGTCATGCCTCTGATACTGATCAGTATTGGATGAACCCAAGGAAGGTGCAAGAATTCTGCAGTGGTAGCAGTGGCATAATACATCCCCCCCATGTTATATTGTATTGGGGTCTCAAACTGGATTGAGTTTTGTAGCATAAAATATAATATTCCTATAATTCCTATCTAAATGTATATTAACAATCATGATAACCCTGAATGTTCCTGATAGCCATATAAATGCCCAGTCCTTTTCAAAACAGACATGTGCCTTAAGTGCAAAATGCACCAGGTATTTTAAACTGAGCTGATATCATGCACAAAAACAAAACCACACAACAATTCTGAGACAGGATAATATATTTTATACATTTTGTGTACATTTTATTTCTGTGGTCTCACTCTTATGTTTTAAATAACTTTAAACATTTTTATTCCCATCATATACCTGAATCACAGCTCCCTCCCCTCAAAAAAATGTCAGGATGATTTTCACAATTGACATCATGATAAAAAAGTGAAGACTCAAAAGCAACCCCTTGCTGAGTGTAAAAGATTGCATGGTGAACGTCAAAAGTATAATTTTTAAAGCATGGAGAACCTTCAGTATATTTAAAAGAAAAGATAATGAAAGGTCCACTTCAGTTATGTGGCAACCTCAACTGAAAATGTCCAAGATACTAGTCTCCTTGTCTAGTAAAGAAAATGGCTGGGTGTGTTTGAAAGAAATGGGAAAGAAAACTTCTTTCAGAGGTCACCGTTGTCTTTGAAAGACATGGGAAAGAAAACTTCTTTCAGAGGTCACCCGTACTTTTCCTCATAGCCACTTATATTGAGTCCACAATTCTGTCATCTGGGATGAACAGAAAACTAATAGCTCTACTCTTTTAACAGGCCAAAATTTTCATGGAGATGGGAGTGTGTTATAATTTGTATTATACATCTAATTAGAAGATTCTTTTCTTAGTGAGAAAATAATATACACACACATTTTTTAAAATTTTATCTGTATAACAAAATACTAATAACACAGCTTTAACACCCCTGAACTTTCAGCTGTAATTGTTTTAGGATTTGAGGAGGAATTGGGAATGGTAACACTTAAAAATTCTATCTGCTGCTACTCCTGAATTTTTTAATGAATTAATTAATTTCTATCCTATGGTAGCATATCTTGATCTGTCTAGCACAAGAAGGATATAAAAAAATCTCAACTGTACATGTAGCTCATTGTACATTTCTAAGATGGATACTACTTCACTGTCACAATTCTTATAATTAAGTACACTAAAGGCAAGTGGTCTGAAGGGGTATAGGATCTGGCCAGTTAGACATAAACATGAAGAAAGGTTACCATTTGAAGACCCATAAATGGTATATGCTGTTAGCAAGTGACAGGGAGAGCTCTACAGTTATTACGAGATCCTGAGTCCAGCCTTCAAGTGTCACCTTTAGGCCTGAGTTCTCTTGCACATCCCTACAGAATATTAAAAAAACCCTATGCTTAAAATGTTTTTATTTTACTATAATCTTTTATTATAGCTAGACTATTGATTGGAAAAGAAAACCTTATTTCAAGTATTTATTGACTTTAGAGTCATCATTCTTTATTGAAATTCTGTGAAGATCCTGAGACAAACACTCACATTCACTCAAGAACCTAAAAGAACCAAAAGAATCCCCAGAATGGCTTTACAAATCTTTGATAAGATTAGCTTCCATTAGTTCATACCATGTAGTATAATGAAAGTATTCAAAAACACCATTCAACCTTCCAAAACAAATGTCAAGCTGGCAGCTTGATAGAGAGGTCAACCACAAAGTTCAGCAACTGTTGGCAGCTATGTTGCCTTATCATTTACAGTCATTTAGAATTAAATGCATCAAAGGCCATCCATGCTTGATGGTGGTGATTTGTGAGGAATACAAGAGCATCAGCAATCACAACACTGCTTTGCAAAAGCTAAGTGGAGCAGAGAGTGAAAACAAAGGATATGGCAGAATTGAGGTGTCTGACAACTGCAGCTTCTGATTTTCACATAGTACTGCACAAAAATTAACAACGGAGCAATGAACAAGCCAAAAAAATTCACTGGCTTCCAAAAAACAGATATGGGTTCTACATAACTCTTGAGTTTTTTTAACCCTGGATTTATCAAAAGTGAAACTTCATTCCTCATAAGAACATGATGCTGTTCTTTTATCAGAAAAGAATTCTACATGGAACCCACTTTGCATACAGTTTTTAATTAATATTTCATTTTCAATGTCTTGAAAACTATGCCTATAGCAATACTTCAACATATTACTCACATTCATGAGTTCATCAAGAAATTAGTTCCATCTACTACCTATCTGACCTTCAACATTAATTCTAAAGAGCTCGACTTTTGAATGTGAAGTTTAAAAAGATAAGTATGAGTAGATTCAGATTGCAAAATGACATTATTAATAAACCAAGCCCCTTAAAAACATTAAATTTAATACTAATTCCACATGGAACAGACCAGCTAAAACACTCAAATTGGTCTAATTTATAATTCTCCCCATTTTAGTTCCTCAAGCCTATAACATTATGCACACTTACCTTTGAGCATATAAATACTTTACGCAGCACTTCAGTGGAAGTACTTATAGGCTTAACTTGAAGCAAATGCATAAGTGTTTGTAGGACCAGGCCAATACATCTGCACTGAACAATACAATATAAATAACCTTGCTGTTAAAGTGGCATGTACATGACTTGCTTTCCCATAATGGTTTTCTGATTCTCTATCCCCTCACAGTGTTGAAAAAAATCATACTACAAATTCATTTATTGCCTCCAAGACCCTAATTAGAAGGCTTAAATCAATGTACAAGCAATTTTAGGGCTGATAATTTTTTCAGCTTGAAACTTTTATTTAATTTCTTTGGCAAGGATCTGTAATTGTGCAATAATTATTGCAGCACTGGGAACTAACTGATCATTCATAACTAGCTGGGTGATTTGTCTCACTGACCAAAATAATCATCAATCTGCAGGAAATCCTCTGGGCTGAGGTAGCTACCACTATTACAAATTGTTTTTAAAAAGAGCTTGAAATACTCTGAGATTCTTTCAGACTGTTTACATGATATTTTTTGAGAAGACACAAGTCACATCATGTATTTATACATCCCTAGGTAGGCCTAGAGAGTTGCTGCTTGGGACACTGTGAAATTTAATTTGCTCCAATTATTTCAAAATGTCTATAAGACACTAATTGGCTTAATAGACCCCAGACTACTTTGCCTGCTATTTTTCATCTTGACATTTACCCTATTTGAAAATGTTAATTTAGGACACATTTTATAAATCAAATATTATCCTAAATATTTATTAAAGCAAATAAAATTAGTGTAACTTGCCTAGATCTCTGCATTTTACAGACCAGCATATAGGTAACTACAAGCAATTTAAGGGAAAACAACAGCCAGATTAAAACAGATACATTTCACAAGAAAGCAGTTTTAACAGTTTTTTTTTTTATCCTTCGTAGGACCTTTCATTCCTTTGAGAACAGCAGCAATTAATATTGTAGAAGTGGGTGGTTTTTGGCAATTTTAGAATTGTTTTCCTCAAAATGAACAACTTTGTTTTGAAGTTGCCACATTACTGTTACTATTGTGATTGCATTCTGAAGAGTTCCTGGGATATACAAATGACCTACTTCTAAACAGGTTTTTATACACTACAGACTAAATTTTTTAACTTACAAATACTTATTTTTTTCCAGTTTACAATGGTAAAAAAATGAAGATTTCACAATGTGTGTAAATGGGAGGTAAAGATACTTTTAAAAACAGAATAAAAAGCTGCATGTTAAAAACTGGGTCACAGACTAATAAATACATACATCAAAGACATGACATTTTCAGCAGCTGGTTTTAAAGAGCAAGGAAGTGGGGAAAAACTAGCTGTCCAAACTCCATTCTGGCTTTGTGATCTATTTGCTAGGAAACTCTACAATTCAAAACCAAGATAACAGATGAGCAGAAAATAACTTTGTAATGCATGTCTTAAAAAAATCAAGCTATTTACTAAAAAAACTGAGTGTAAAACCTAATGGAAATTACATTTTCAAGCACTTGCCTACACTGCAGTAAAAAAGGAATTATTTCTCACCCAGAAAAAATGAGCTATCTTGTACTGGAAAGACAAACTTACTGTAATTTTTTTTTTGTTTACAGTAAAAGGATTTTCTAGAAGTCCACCAACAAGACTTATTAATTACAAAACATAGAATTATTGTATCAACCTATCACCAACTTCCAATATTCAGGCAAAACATAAAACTAGTTGCTAGTCAGTTAAAAAAGAAAAGAAAAGAAAAAAAATGCTTAGAAGATATACTGACAGCTGTAGAAATGCCAGAAAAAGATGCTGGACACCAGGATTTCCAGAGCGACCCCTTTTCTGAAAGCGATGTGTAGTTCATGAATTAGACAGTGAGAGAAAATTGATCCTGCTCTATTGGTTTCTCCACCCAGGCTCCAAGCCCTGCCTTCAGGAATGCTTTAAACAAACACTCTTTGGCAGTTTGATACTCCGTGGCTACTTGCTTTGTTTCATGGTACAGGTTAGGTTTGAGGATCTTTGAGTGCAGGCTGGAGGAAAGCTGTACACATGAAAGAAAAAGAAAACAAACTATTATACAAAATGACACAACCAGAATGGAGACAAGAGAGCCTTAAGTGAAGCAAAATGAAATAAAGGCAACAGGATATTCTATTAGTTCTGGATATAAAGTTACTGTTAATCTCTAGGCAGCAACAATTAAGTTTAAAGTTATCTCATAACAAAACGGTTCCACTGATGGGAACACTGAGGATCTTCTTGTTTCCAAGGTCTTAAATCACTTCAAACTTTCAAATGGAAGCCCATGACTTATGCTCCTTATGAAGCAATTCCTAGCTACCTCTGGGGTTAGGAAGGTTCCCCTAGCAGCATTAGTAATGTGGGACAAGGGTTTCAAGGCCTGTACAGGAAAAAGATGCACACAGTGTATTGTGGAGTTAAGCTCTAGGGCATTTATATGCATACCTTTTTCCAGCAATGCGCCAGAGATCCACCGCTTTGGAGCAGACTCAATTGAGTCTGCTCCACTCACGAGCTGAGGCGAACTGCACTGCGCCATGTGCAGTTGTATAAGTAGCCAAATGTGCGTTGGCGCACAGAAAATGGCAGCGCTGCGCTTTTGAACTAAAACGCCTCTGAGGTGTATTAGTTCAAAAGTGTTCAAAAGAGGTGCTGTGATGCATGCGTGTGTAATAATGGCCCGTGGTGTCAGGGGTGAGAAGGGCTGGGATGGAGGAGCTCCTGCTTTGTGCAACTCTGTCTTCCTTCCCTTCACTGAAGAAAGGGTGCATTATGGAAACACTGGCTGAAGTGGCTGTAGCTTTACAGCATATTATTAATGAAGTGAAACTCTGATAGTGATATTTCCCTGTAGGTCTGGGGTGACAGAAAAGGAATAAACCATTAATCTTCACAGCTCCTTTATGAGGTACACTTTGTTAGCATGTAGAATGGTAATGCAAACAGGGAAATTAAATAGCACGCCACGGTCTGCAGAGATAGCTGGAGTCACGCTCAAGACCAGGCTTTAGTAATTCCAGACTTCCAGCCTCCCATTCTAGGACCAAGCCCTATGTCTCCTGCTCTTTCTGGAAAACGGCCATATGATTAGAGCTTTATGACGAACTGATTTCTTCTTTCCTTGGTGAAACTAGGGATCAATTAAAAACAACTGTTGCTGGGTTGACTTGGATTCTGAGGTTGTTTTAATTGCTTTTATCAGCAAAATGGAAAACGAGGAGAAAAAATTGTTTCCAGTGAACTGAAATGTTCCATTTGATTTACAACAAAGCATTTAATTTAATTCCCAGTTTTTTTTTCTTCTATTGTAAAAAAGTTGTTAAAATTTAGACAAAATTGGTTTCAAAACATTCAAAATTAAAAATGAAATGTTTAATTTTAAAAATATCAGGAAAAAACGGTTCACTTTCTGAATTGTTTTGCAACCCAAAATATTCATCAGATTCAGTACAAAATGTTATACTGAAGGAAAAAATAAGAGACACTTGCAACTTTCCTGTCATATTTATATGATCAAAAGGAAAGCCAATTAATTGCTGCTTTTCTGAAACAATCGTGTTTTCTCCACAACCTTGCCTAATCTAGTGCCCACAGATTCAAAGAAAGAAACAACTTTTCACCACAAAATCCTTGTGAGAAGAATTTCTGAATGATGACAGCGAGGGGACAAAGAAGGGTGCAGTGTGAAACTGAATGGCATAAACATGCTTCTACTTTCTAACTATCTGGGCTGCAGGAGTCCCAAACTGTGCCATAATGAGAGGAAAATATACAGCAGGCATGCTCAGCCTCTGGCCCATGAGTCAAATGTGGCCCGGGAAGCCATAGGTATCTGGCCCACAGGGCTTCCCATGGATTAGGAAATTTGGCAGTATAGGAGCAGTGGCAATAAATAGGACCACCCTCCCCTGTTGCCAAATTCTCAAACCTGAGCCTCCTGCAGCAGGGGAGGGTGTCACACCCCTTTCCTCCACCCCTGTGGCTGCATGAGGGTGGGCCATGCCTCTCTCCCAGGCTTGATGGGGCCAGGCCACATCCTCTTTGGGGCCACATTTCCTTTGGGGCCAGCTCAAGTCCTCTCCTGTCCTCCTGTGGGACTGGGTTAAGCCTCCTTCTCCCATGGGGCTGAACTGGAGTTGGGCCATGCCCCATCCCCCTGGCAGAGCCAGGCTGAAGTCAGGACCTTCTCTGCCCACATCTGCATAGTCAGATTGGGCTCTGCTGCAGCCACCTGGGGCCAGATTGGGATCACCAACTGGAACCAGCCATGGATGGCCTGGTCACTGCACATCTGGCCTTCTAGCCAAAAAGGTTGAGCATCATTGATATACAGACTCCAAATGAAGGTTGAAAGAATTCTGATTCTGGTGAGTTACTGACTTAAGGCTCTTTATGTTTATATCAATAGGGCTACGTTGAACAGAAAACTGAGAGAACCCTAGGGACACTGTTCTACGGTGGTATCTTTCACTTTTCCTACAGCCGGGGTTTTCAACCTTCTAAACAAGTGTACCCTTCTCTCTCAAAGCTCCAGCTCATATACCTCTTTATATATATTTTTTTGTTTTAAAGGGGCAGGGGGGAGGAGCACATTGAGGCCCCCATGATGAGGGAGTGGGGCTGGGGCTGCACAGCTGGGGCAGAGCGTGGGAGGAGCTGAAAGCAGTCAGGGGGCGCAGAGAGGGGATGGTGGTGACTCCTGTTGGTGCACACACCCCGGGAGGGCATGGGGGCATGTGCCCCTGGATCCTCGTGCAGGGTGAGGGTGGCCTGGCCCAGCAGTGGGGGAGGGAGTGGGGCTGGAGCAGGGGATGGCCCAGCGAAGGCAGGGCGCAGGAGCAGCTACGTGCACCCCCGGAAGGACACGGGGGCCGTGTGCCCCCGGATCTGCATGGAGGAGGACAGGCTGCTGCTGCGGCTGGCACCAAGCTGTTCCCAGTGTGGGGCTGGGCTGTGTTACGCTTGGGGTGGGTGGCGGGGGCGGGGGGGGGGGGTGGGGGGGGGGGGGGGGGGGGCCCAGGGGGAGCCCCCTGCCAAGCCCCAGCCCCACATGGCTGCCCCGGCAGCCCCAGCTCCCAGCCGTTTACAAAAAGCCCCTACTCAGCAGGTGCTGTCGGGCGGGGCGGGGGGGGG